CCCCTTGTGTCAGTATTTTGTTGAACCACCTTTTGCTTTAATTACAGTCTTTAGTCTGTCTCTACTTTGCCCATCTAGACTTTGCAATATTTGCCCACTCTTCTTTGCAGAACTGGTCAAGTTCAGTTCAATTTCATGGTGACCATCTGTGGACTGCAGTCTTCAAGTCATTCCACAGATTTTCAATGGGCTTTAAGTCTGGACTCTGACTCGGCCATGCAAGGACATTCACCTTTTTCTCCTTCAATCACTGTGTGCTCAGTTTTGCTGTGTGCTTTGGGTCATTGTCATGTTGGAAGGTACACTTTCTTCCCATTGACAACTTTCTGGCAGAGGGCAGCAGATTTTCCTCAAGAATTTGATGGTATTTTTCCCCATCCATTTTTCCTGCTATCCTAACAAGTGCTCCAGTCCCTGATGAAGAGAAACATCACCATAACCGGATATTAGATGAAGGTAAAAGAGTAGCAAAACTCGAGAGCTTGTTGATTTGAATATGAGAACTTGTCATATTATTATTCCTATTTGTAAGTTGAAATTTACACTCACAGCTCTGATGTGAAAAGCTCTATTTTCACACACAGACAATAATCAAAACACCCATGTTTCGAATTCAACGTCGCAGATTAATAGTTACAAATGTGTAAAATGACATTCATGTAAACAAAATGACAGAATGTGTACGACATATTTACTTTCGCACTTTACTTCAGTTTCGCTGTACAACCACAAGTCAGCACTTACAACCTCTCAGATCTGGCAGTACAACTTTAATTCTTAGTGCTTTGACTCTTTGACTTTTGACTCGTGGTTGTACAGTGAAACTGAGGCAATAATAATTGAGAAGAATAGCATATTCATGTTTGCCTGTATACTGTATGGACTAAAAGTCAAAAAGCTCTAATTTTGTTGTCATTTTGTAGTGTCATGTTTTCAATGTTAAAACACTTGCTCATATCCCAGATTAATATGTAGAGACAAATGTAAGTCTTTCATAGGTTGATTTCTCTGAAAAGTGTAAACACTGTGGTGCTATGACACAGCAACATCACTTCAACCACTGTTTGGTGAAGCCAGTGGCACAGAAATTACACACCCTAAAATCTCCCTTAACAAACTGGCTGTATAGTAAATGAGTCACTGAGTTTTTTTTCCCAGCAAATGAGCTTTTTCCAAATGTATGACTGAAAATACTACTGCTTCCTGTAGACAGCAATGTTAAACACAAATGTCTGGCAACGCTTCACCCTGTCTGTGCCTGTCACGGCTCTGCTTAGAGTGATGATCTGAAAGAGCACGAACGAGAATGAGGAGGCCACCAATTCATCAAATACTGTCAGACTTTTCCGCTTTCTGCCAAAGTTTTCTCTCGGATGACAAATTAAATTGTAGACTTGATAGATGGCCGTCTTATCCAGGGCCTCAAGAGACGGACAACAAACAAAAGCATATCCTTCATCTTTTATTTGATGTCTTATCAGTCTTGACCCCAAACTAGACAAGCATTTATCTGTTTTCTCAACCTCGATGACTTTGGGATAAAAGTTTTTAAATAATAAATGGCTGGGTAAAAGCAAACACGACTCTGTGGACATCTGCTGTTTTTTGCCAATCTGCGTTATATAAAATGAGAATTTTAAATTCTAGACTATGAATAAGACAGACTATGACTACACTAAGACAGCTAAATTTAGTGGAATAGGCATTTTTTCTTGTCATTTTGATGTGCTGAGTCAGCGTTGTGCTTTATGCTTGCCATTTAAAACTAAAACAAGTGATCATGTATTAGCACAAAGGCTGCAGAAGACTTGGAATTTAGGACAAAATGGACTACTGTATTTTTATTAGTCATATGGTCTACTTTTATGATACTTTCTTATGAACAGTGTTCATTTCCACTGTCATTGTATACTGCTTTAGGATTAAACCAGGATTTAAAAAAAAAATGGTTATAAAATATTTTTTTTATAACCAAATTTAAGTTGTATTTATACAGCATGCTTAAAAATGTGAAAAAAAAAAAAAATCTTATGAAAATGAGAACATTTTTACACAGTCTTTTTTTTTTTGTAAGTTATAAATAATAAAAATGTATGTTTTACAAGAAAATACTATTTCAGTATTTCTATTCCAGTAATATTCTATTGCTAAAATGTGTTTCTTTTTTTTTATTATTTGTGACCCTGGACCACAAAACCAGTCATAAGGGTCATTTTTTCAAAATTTTGATTTATACATGAATAAATAAGCTTTCCATTGATGTATGGTTTGTTAGGATAGGACAATATTTGGCCGAGATACAACTGTTTGAACATCTGGAATCTGAGGGTGCAAAAAAAAAAAAAATCAAAATATTGAGAAAATCATCTTCAAAGTTGTCCAAATGAAGTCCTTAGCAATGCATATTACTAATCAAAAATTACGTTTTGATATATTTACGGTAGGAAATTTACAAAATATCT